TGCTGGCGGTCGGGGTCCCATCCCCCACTCCCTGCCCCCAGGGACGAGGACAAGAAGTCGACGGAGAAGAAGCGGGATGAGAAGGCCAAGAAGAAGCACGACCGCAAGGCCAAGAAGTACGAGGACGAGGAGGACGAGGGCGGCGAGTGGGAGAAGGTCAAAGGGGGGGCGCCCCTGGTCAAGGTGAGACCCAGGCGGGGGAACCCTGGGGGTCAGGCCGGGGAAGATTCCCCGTGGGGCCGGGGCCGGGGGCCTGGGCAGGGGAAGATCTCCCATGGGGCAGGGGGGCCGGGCCGGGGAAGATCCCCCGTGGGGCAGGGGGGCCGAAGCCCAGGCCTGACCCATTCTCTGCCCCCACCAGGAGAAGCCCAAGATGTTTGCCAAGGGCACCGAGATCAACCACGCCGTGGTGGTGAAGAAGCTGAACGAGATCCTGCAGGCCCGTGGGAAGAAGGGCACGGACCGGTGAGCGGGGCTTCTCCCAGCATGCCCTGGGGCGGGGCGGCAGGTCCCTCCCTCCTGTCCCTAGGGGGGTGGGGCAGCAGGAGCTGGGCAGGGCCCTTCTCCCAGCATGCCCCGGGGCGGCTGAGGGGGGCGGGCTGCGGGGAGGCGGCTGGTTCCCAGCGTGCCCCGGGGGGGCTGACGGGGGCGGGCTGCGGGGAGGCGGCTGGTTCCCAGCGTGCCCCGGGGCGGCTGACGGGGGCGGGCTGCGGGGAGGCGGCTGGTTCCCAGCGTGCCCCGGGGCGGCTGACGGGTCTCCCCGCCGTGCAGGGCGGCCCAGATCGAGCTGCTGCAGCTGCTGGTGACCATCGCGGCCGAGAACAACCTGGGCATCGCCATGGACCTCAAGATCAAGTTCAACATCGTCGCCTCCCTCTACGACTACAACCCCAACCTGGCCACCTACATGAAGGTGAGGGGGTGGGGCCTGGCGGGCGGGACCCCAACCTGGCCACCTACATGAAGGTGAGGGGGTGGGGCCTGGGGGGCGGGACCCCAACCTGGCCACCTACATGAAGGTGAGGGGGTGGGGCCTGGGGGGCAGGACCCCAACCTGGCCACCTACATGGAGGTGAAGGGGCTGGGGCGGGGCCTGGGGCCGGGTCACCCCAACCCGGCCACCTCCGGGAAGGTGAGGGGGCGGGGCCCCAACCTGACCACCTCTGGGAAGGTGAGGGGGCGGGGCCCCAACCCGACCACCTCCGGGAAGGTGGGGGGCGGGGCCTCTGGCCCCCTGCTGCCCGCCCCCTGACCCCGCTGTGCCGCAGCCGGAGATGTGGAAGAAGTGCCTGGAGAGCATCGACGAGCTGCTGGACATGCTCTTCGCCAACCCCAACATCTTCATCGGGGAGAACATCCTGGAGGAGTCGGAGAACCTGTCCAACTTCGAGCAGGTACCGGGGCCACGCTCAGCGCCCAGGGGGTGGGAGAGGGGCTGGGGTCGCGCTCGGGGGGCGGTTCACCCCGTACCGTTGGGGTGGCTAATGCTGGGGACGGAGCCAGCGGAACTACCCGCCACTGGGTGCGGCCAGAGAAGGGGGGTGGGAGTGAGTCCGGGGGGGTGGGTACGAAATGGGGGGGCGGGGACTGGGCGTGAGCAGCTTGGGGGGGGCTTGGGGGCGGGGGCCTGGATCCAGGGGGTGACTCCCCTCCCCTCCCCCCAGCCCCTGCGGGTGCGTGGCTGCATCCTGACGCTGGTGGAGCGCATGGACGAGGAGTTCACCAAGATCATGCAGAACACGGACCCGCACTCCCAGGGTGAGTGGGGGGGGCGGGGGGCTCAGGCCTAAGGAAGTAACCCCTGTGGGGAGAAACGTGGGGAAACTCCTGCCCCGCAGCATGCATGGACCACCCGAAGGACGAGGGGCTGGTGTGTGGGATATCGGGGGGCTGGGGACGGGGTGTGACCCCCCCGCCCCCCCAGAGTACATGGAGCACCCGAAGGACGAGGGGCGGGTGTGCGGGATTTGGGAGGGCCGGGGGGCTGGGGGCCGAGGACGGGGTGTGACCCCCTGCCCCCCCAGAGTACGTGGATCACCTGAAGGACGAGGGGCGGGTGTGCGGGATCATCGGGCGGGTGCAGAGCTACCTGCAGGAGAAGGGCACGACGGAGGAGATCTGCCGCGGGTACCTGCGCCGGGTGCTGCACACCTACTACAAGTTCGACTACAAGGCGCATCAGCGGGAGCAGGGCCCCGCCGGCGACTCCAAGGTACTGAGCCCCCCCAGCCCCCCTGACACTGATCTTCTCTTTTCTCCTGTGGGGCCCTGCCAGGCCCCCGCAGTGGGGCAGGGGCTCTGGGGGCCATTGTGGGGCATGGGGAGGCTCTGGGGCCCTGGCTCACCTCTGTCTGCCCGCTGTTGGAGGACAGTGCTTGGGGGGGCCTCCAGGCCGGCCGGTCTCACTCCATTGCCCCGCAGTTGGAGTGGGGCGCTCGGGGCCGGCCCTCAGTGGTCAGAGCAGGGTGCTCTGCGGGCGCTCTGGGCCGGGGTGCAGTGGTCGGAGTGGGGTGGGGCGCTCTGAGGCCCCTGGTGGTTGGAGGGGGGCGGTCCGTCTCGCCCCGCGGCCCCACAGTTGGAGAGGGGTGCTCGGGGCCGGCCCTGGCGGTCTGGGGATGGGGCAGTCGGGGGGGCTCTGGGGGAGCTCTGGGGGCAGTCGGGGGGGCCCCGCAGTTGGAGCAGGACCAGGCGAAGAACGAGGGGGAGGGGGCAGTTGGGGGGGCTCTGGGGGGGCCCCGCCCCCCCCCGGCCCCCCCCCCAGTCGGAGCAGGACCAGGCGGAGAACGAGGGGGAGGACAGCGCGGTGCTCATGGACCGGCTCTGCAAGTACATCTACGCCAAGGACCGCACGGACCGGATCCGCACCTGCGCCATCCTGTGCCACATCTACCACCACGCCCTGCACAGCCGCTGGTTCCAGGCCCGCGACCTCATGCTCATGTCCCACCTGCAGGACAACATCCAGCACGCCGACCCCCCGGTGCAGGTGAGGGGCGGTGCGGGGGGCAGGCCGTGGGGCAGCGCGGGCCGGCTCTCACCCCTCTCCCCGCAGATCCTGTACAAC